TTTTATTTTGTTTTTGTAAACCATCTTTTTCATGCAGCAAAGAGAAAAGAAAGGTAAATGCTCTAGGGAAACACAGGCATGTGTGCACTGAAATGATCAGGAAACTGAATTTGCTTTTTGTGGAAGATGATGTTAACTCCATGACTGAAATCTTTGCTAATTTATTGTAGCATGTTTTCTTTTTCTGTGTTGTGGGGTTCTTTATTTTCCAGCACTGCCTCTGTGTCATGGTTTCACCCTGTCCTCCTCATTTAGGAAAAGACTGAACCAGCTTAAAAAGCTGCCCTAAAAATCAGTGTGGCTTCATTTGCCTTAGTGAAGCTCTGTGTAGATAGGCCACAATACACCACAAGCTGCCATATGCATCTTCATGTTGGGCATTTCATTACTCAATATGAACAAGGAAACTAGATTTCACAGAGTTGGAAGCAAGGGTTCCTACCCCAGCATGCACGGAAAATGCCCTCCTGCCCTATGTCAGAATGACTAAAGTGTACAAGCAAGCCCTATAGAGTTAGATTGGAGGGAAAAGATAGAAGTGCTCCCTTTTCCTCCTTCCTTTTCCCTTGTTTGTCTACCTGGTGGATTTTACCTTGGCAAACACTTCCTAATGTTACAGGCATGAAAATCATTTGAACAGTATCATAATGATTAGGGATTAGGAGGGAGGAAAGCAAGGCGTCAAAATGAAAACAGGGCTGAGATCCCAAATTCCAGTGTAGCATTTAAAATAATTAAAATGTTTATTTGAAAGTCAAAACAGCCTCAGTCATAAATAACTCTCGATTGACTGTGTTGAGTCCCAACTGAGAGCTCTGGGAATAAGGTTTATTTGCTCCCTGTTGGGATTAATCCATAAATGTAGTCTCCACATGGAAGTCATCAGGTCTTTGCTTCCTCTTCATTAGTCTCCCTGGAACAGGAGGGTAGCCTGAATAAGATGAAAATTAGGATAATATATTTTCAGAGAAAAAAGGTCTGGTGGTCTCTAATTTGTGTTTCAGGACCATAATGCTGTTGAAAATTCCCCAAATGATATCTAAGAAACCAATGCTTGTTATGCTCACCGCATGTGAAATTTGAATGTGGCAATTATATCTTCTCCTTAAAACCTCCAAAAGCTAACTGCAGTGTGAAAGTAGATAGGTTGACTCCCAGGCTCCCTTCTATCCACAGCAGAACTTAAAATTCTCTTGACAGATCTTTTAGTCTTCTAGCCCAAGGGTTCTGAAATGTCACAGTATGGCCCATTTATTATTAAAGAGATCATTTCTCTGTAGCCCACCCATTTCCTCCCTCCCTCTTGTTCTGAGTCTCAGCACTGATTAGAGGGCCACCACAGAAATAAACTTTTTCAGCCCCTGAGACCCTTAAAATTCATTTATTTTATCATATTTGATGCAAAAAGTTATTTCAATCCAGGCTCCAACCAGGAATGGCACAGATATTTTTTTTTCATTGTTTCTGTTTTAAAGCATCTACCAATTGCATCAACCATTTAAAACCACTCTGTGCCCAAAACCGGGAGTCAAGGAGCTTTCTTGTCACCAAAAAAAAAAATGCCCCTGTACTCAATCTGATGCAAAATACTTTTTATTATGTGTTCTGAAAGCTACAGCATTTGTTAGTGTGTCCTTAGAAAGCATTTTTATCTAGTTTTGCAGTGTATCAAGCTGCAGTTTTTCTCACTTCAAACTGTAGTCTCCTTACAATGTTGTTAGGATTAAACAGGACTTTAAGGAAACTAATTAGCAAGCATTGAACATTGAGGGGCTTCTAAAGGCCTCTAGGAGGTTTTGCTGGTTCTGCTGTTTGATTTTAGTCTCTGGACCTGCATTTGCCCCAGGTCTGGGAGCTGCATGCTTGGGTTTTTTACATCCCAGCTGTCATTCAATGCCACAGCTGTCATAAAACACAACTTACAAAGTGGTGTCTGTATAAAGAATGCTGCTATATCTTACAGCTCTTCAGTGCTTTTTAAGCTGATTTTATGATGCGAGGCACTGCCCCTAGTGATGGGTCTCAAAAAGCTGTGTCTTCCTTCTTAGCACTAATGTACAATTTATTGCACTTTTTCTACACGGTTCCAGCACTTTGTTGTCCCTGCTGTTGTAAATCAGCATTTATTACTTTAAGTGTCCTTGCTGCTTATTCAGCTCTGTGGAAAAATGGACTTGAAGAAAAATTTCTGGCTTGCTGACAGTCATGTATCACTGTGAGAGATCTGACAGTTTCCTGGTGAGTGAAACCCTGACAATCCTAGGAAGCCAAGAGCTGTACTTCTACACTAATTTAAGCTTCATCACTAAGCCCCATCACTTCTTTGTGAGCCTGGTAGCCCGCGTGGTTCATAAAGCCCATGAGCTCCTGCTTTAAGTAAAGACCCAATGGCGTCTTCCATTGCAGACCTCCAGCCTTTCCATGACTTTAGAAGTCATGGGCTCTGGACTGCAACATAGATACATGTTAAGCACATCTGTAAGCTCCCTTGGATGCTCTTAATGCCACATTTTATTTTGTAAAGGCAAAGATACCAGCGCTTGTTTGCTTTAGTGCATCTTCATAGAATCATAGAATCATAGAATAGTTAGGGTTGGAAAGGACCTTGAGATCATCTAGTTCCAACCCCCCTGCCATGGGCAGGGACACCTCACACTAAACCATGCCACCCAAGGCTCTGTCCAACCTGGCCTTGAGCACTGCCAGGGATGGAGCATTCACAGTAGCAAATTGTGTTTAGGAACATGTGTTTTCCAGGGCTGGGAGGTGGCAGTTTAATGCAGGCTTTCTCTGTCATGCTCTTGAAGCAGTCCCCTCTGCTCAGTGGGACTGATGTTCACAGTGGATTTGAGATAGTTGTACATATGTTACTAGAGATGACTCCCTAGAAAACGAGAATGTTTTGAGAAATCAGTTACACAAAGGAATGGATTCAGCACCAGATGGCCAGGATGCTGCGTCCCAACCTGGGAAGGACTCCTGGGACAGCCTCATGCTTGTTGCCACAGGGCTGGGTAATCAGCTAAATCAATTAGTCAGTGCAGTTTACAGAGCAAGCAACACTAGCATAGGTGTGTTACTGTGATTCTAGCAGAGGGGCCTGCTCTTCTGCTCTTTATTTCCCCAGCAACTGGATCAGTTTTCCTAACCTGGCAGGGTAGGAGAGGGCTCTGCTTTTCCTGAATCTGCTTTCCAGGCACTGTCACCAAGTTCAGCTGTCTGTCCTTGCCAACTTGGAGGTGCTTAAGGAAAGGGGACCTTTGTGATCTAGGATGTGAACTGGGACCTTGTGCTGTGAGCAAATTCCATCAGTGTGGTGACCTTCTTTCAGACTCATCTTTGGCAGTGACAGATAGTTCAGCTCCATTTCCTGGGTGGACATTGAACCAGGCTGTAGCTGTGTCTCGAGTCCTGTCTCTGGTCATGTCTCTTTTTGCTCCTGATGAGAGCCCCTAAATGGGCCCTGTGCCTGGTCTATTCCTAGCTATGTGTGGGGGGATCCCAAATCTCGCATATCCTGACAAACGACTTCCCAACACCCAGGTTTCTAGCTGTCCATTCAGAGGCCCAGCAAACCAGCTTGATCTCAGATGGCATCTCTGTGTCTCTGCTATGTGACAAGGCAAAATACAGCATGGATATGTGACTTGACATCACCGGGACATCAACAGCAGACCTAAGAACTGGACCTGGCTCCTCCATATCTCAGTCCAATGCTGTACTTTTGAGATGCCCTACATAGGGAGTTGAACTTGCTGATCCTTAGGGCTCCCTTCCTGCTCGAGATATTCTATGAGTCTATTCTGTGACTCTGATTCTTACTAGAGGATGCTGTGTACCCTTCAGATCATGGAGACTAGAGTCAGCTTTTGCATCTGGTGGAAGACTGCATTTGTATGATTGAACATTTAACACTGTTAGTCCTGCCTCAGTTTTTCTCCATGTTTCTCCTAGCTTATCTTCTGCTGGTCCACACCACTCTCCAGTTACTCTTACGTGCCTGTGCTCCTGCCCTCAGCCTCCTTTTATGTCTATTTTTTAAATGTCTTTTTTCTCTGACATTTGCCTACAGAATCAGTCACAGCCCCACTGACTGGCTCCTGCCTCCAGGCTTTTGCTGATGAATCCCATCTTTTGCCCTGCTCCACCTGCCCTTCTACAGCAGGCTTTCTGATCCTGTCTGCTTTCGCATGAGTGAATCTCTTTTTCTGGCTGCTTTTCAATCTGGCAGCTTGCTCTTACTTGGTGCCCTTGATAACACAGGCTATCTGCCACCACCTCCAGGAGTCAGCCAACACAGAGCTGCACCAGAAAGTTAGGAAAAGAAACAGTCTGGAAATTTAGTTGCTAAAATGTAAGTCGTTTCAAGTCAGCAGAGCAAACTGTGCCTCTGTGTGTGTTCTTTTGCACCCCCCTTCCTCCTTCATAGCTGTACTGTTTCCCCAATTTTAGAAGAGTGTTCGCAGAGGTTCTTTCTAACTACATTGCTTCAAACTGTGGAGCAGTTATTCTAAGTGAAACTGCCACCAAATTGATGAAAACAAAAAAAAACAAAAAAAACCCAAAAACCGACCGCCAAAGTATTTATTTCATACTTAGATATTGAAAGCTGCTTGGCTGTTTTGGCAGATGCTCAGCCAGATAACTGGGATGGGGGTTTGGCACTGCTATGTCATAGAATCATATAATGGTTTAGTTTGGAAAGGACCTTAAGATCATCCAGTTCCAACCCCCTGCCATGGGCAGGGGCACCTCATACTAGACCACATCATCCAAGGCTGTGTCCAACCTGGCCTTGAACACTGCCAGGGATGGAGCATTCACCACTTCTTTGGGCAACCTGTTCCAGTGCCTCACCACCTTCACAGTCAAGAACTTATTCCTTGTATGTAACCTGAAGCATCTAAAACTTAATGTCCTAAGCACTTGAAGGACTTCCAGTGGAAAAATTTATCAGGGCATACATCTTGGTGAATGTTGGAGAGCCATCCTTGGATAAGAGCAGTCCAAACAGACACTGGCAGGTTTGGAAAGGCTCCTGAGAGCTGCGTGGATTGTAGGAGACCCAAACAAGATGGTCAAAAGCCCTTTGTGTGGTAGAACACTGTGTTATGTGGCAGGAGTGGGGCTAGTCTGAGAGGAGTTGCAAAAGCAATGTGCTCCCATGTCCCAGAGTAAAAGAGACATCCCACTGTCTGCTAAACATGCAGCATCCTTCCCGAGCTTAGAGCTCTGCCATTCAGTCCTGACTGTGTGCAACAGCCTGAGCCTCCCAAATACAAAGGGCTTTGGTGCAGCCTCGTTGGTCACTTCCGTGCCTGGGGCTTCACAGCTTCAAAACTGGAGAGCCTGTCCTTTCTCCTTGGTACCTCGGAGATGTTTGCCTCTCACAGTTTGTCACCAAGACCCTGCTGTAATTTCACACACTCCTTTAATAAAGTCCTCTGAGGCTGTCATGTATTTTCATGTATTTCCCCTATTGTTTCTCCCTGCTTGAGCCTTTCAGATAATTGATGATACTTTAGTTAATAATTTTTCCTTTCCTTTGTTTGCTAGGTACCTCAGCCTTGAAGGGATCCTTTTCATTTAGAATCTGTGTCTTCTCTTGAGTAGTTGATCACTGTGCACCCGCGGACACCCAATTCACAGCCCGGTGGGATCAGCCTTCATGAAAAATCAAAACGCTGTGGCCGTGTTGCTGCAGGAGTGCAAATGAGCTCTGGACATGCTCCTGTCAGCACAGGCTGACACGGGTGAGGAAGATGAGAGAGGATACCACCGGTGCCAATGTGAGGTCCCCAGGAGAGGCAGCAGCACCATGGCAGCAGCCACCCATCCTCAGCCCTGCCCTAGTTTTCTTCTCCTGGCAGATGAGTGTCAAGAGATGCCTGGACTTCGAAGCTATGAATGGGGCGTGAGCTACAGGCAGGCAGGGAAAGAAGTCCACTTTGTTGCAGTGAATTGCTGTCAGTTCTAATTTTCGGCTTCAGTACACATGAGGCTGTAAGGAACAGTTTATTTTGGTTAGAACAATGCCAAAAAGTTTGCTGATGCACATAAATTTTAGTTATTAAAAAAAAAAAAGGAAAAGAAAGGAAAAAAAAGAAAGGATGCAACTTCTGAATAAGGGCACGTTTCCTCTCCTTTCATATGGCCTTTTCTGTTTGTCAGCTTCTCCTAATATATTAAAGAGCTTATTGCTTGAATCTTTATCTGTGTGACCTCTATAAGTGGTGTCCAAGGAAAAAAGAAGCTTGCAATATTCTTCTTGAAAGGAAAATCCAAGCTGGCTAATGGCCGGGTAAAATAACCAGAAAAAGAAGCAAGTGCTGTAATAGAAGGGTTCTTCATTTGTTTTAATGCTGGCAATACCTGCTGGAAACCAGCATTTGTTTTTGTATTGTCAGGGTGCTTTGAGAGTGGTTTGTAAAAAGAAATTTATTATTTCTTAATCCAGTGGAAATCCTGACCATGAAAGGTTGTAATACACTCAGTTCTGTATTCTCTAGGTTCAGACTTTCAGAGGGCTACATAAGTTCATTGCCACAGCTTCTTTACTCTTCATATAAAAGCCACGTTTGAATTGCTGAACTTGTTTGAATTACACCTATCAGTACAGGGTAGGGAGGTTTCTGTCACACAGGGCGGGTGGAGGGGGGCACAAAGGCATTAGCAAAAAAACCCACCAACAAAAAATCTATTGATGTGTAGGTTTTCCTTTGCATGACACATCTGCAGCACTGTCCGTTTTCCAGTTCAGTGTTAATAATGTTTAGTTTTGCTGTGCATGAGTGACTCGGCCATAACATTAATTTGATCTTCAAAATCCTTTGTGTGTCTCGGAGCACAGAGCCGTTGGGAATATGTTTTTCTGTCTGGCCTTGTTCTTGCTGGGAGGTCAGCTGCCTTCTTCTGAAGCACCTAAGTCTGTTTTCGATGGAGGGTGGCAGGGTGGCTTGTGGGTTCCTGTTATGGATACTGGAAGATTTTTCTCTTCTCTTTGTTTTCAACAAAGGGTACTTTGTTTCCTCATCATGAATTCTTTAAGTTTTATTGTGGCTCCTTAGAATAGGCTCTTGAGCTCCTAATCAGCTAGCACTTTTTCCCCCCCATCCTTCTCCCTCCTTTTCTCCTATTAATTACCACAAAGTATAAGAAATAATCAGTTTAGTTCCAGATAAGGTAAATTAGCACCCTTATAATCACTCAATTAGACATGGTCCTTCAGGTAAACTGCTTCAGGAAATGGGCAATCAGGGCCTGAAGTGCTGCTTGGGCTTTTCCAAGGACCATGTTCCCATCAGCTGAAAGAAAAATACCCAGCTGTGGGGTGGTGACATCGACATCAATAACTGCTGGGGCTGTCTGCCTGGGGAAGGCTTCAGAGGGACCCTCCCAGCACAGAGGTGAGGGGTTTCTTGGCCCCCCTCTCCCCCTTTGTTTACTTTGGCTTCCTCCTTCTCTGGCAGGAGGAACTTAAAAATGGGAGGCAGAAGGAAGAGGAGGAGCATGTCCTTACCTTCCTTTGGTTGAGGGGGAGGAAGGGATTTTAGGTGGGTCTGGATAGCTTTTCTCTTTCTTTTTAGGCTAGAAATCAGTCCAATCTACTTCTGCACCAGTATAACATTCATTAATAAATTTATTGCTAATGAATGAATTTATATTGCCTGTGATAACAACTATTGGTTACAAGAGTGAACTCTTGTCCTGGGAGTTGGATTTTAGCCGTTCACACAAGGTCCCCACTGGTTGGTGTGGTAGTAGGTGCTGTTGTGATACACCGTTGTTTTATTGTCATGGACACACTAATCATGCTTGTTTTCATGGGGTGACAGCTAACCTCACAGCAAGTCTGGAAGCAGTATCCTGCTGGGCTTACACACATGTCAAACCCCAAAGATGACCGAAGGCTTCTGGGTTGCCAAATCCTGATGAAAATGTTACCCTGGTTTCCTTTTCTAACCAGCTTGGCTGTAGTGACTGCTGAGGATGCCCCTTTAAAGTTTGATATTAAGGAATTTGGCCAGATTCTTTGCTCTTTAGCACATCAGGTAGGAGGTGGGTTAAGGTTTGACTAACATGGAAAACAGGAACAAAAGGACAGCATTAATACCTTTATGCTTTAGAGAGCATACCAACATCCACGTTATCTCACTATTTTCATAGCTGCTGACACTGTTATTTTTGCCTGATTTACTGTTATTCAAGGAAGTGTGAGTTCATGTGGAAAAGACAGAAGAAAGTAGAGAAGAAGGCTTGCAGTATAAGCATCTCTTTCTGTAGATTGATCCCTTGCCAGAATGTCAGTCCTATGGGATCATGTGGGTAAACACGTTTGTTGTGACCACCTGAAGGCCCCCCCATCTTCCTCTGGGAAAGATTTTGGGATAAACTGCTCTGTCCATCATTTTGTGATTGTTGTGATGAGATGGGTACTCTGCGCTGATCTTGCAGCGAGAGGTGTGAGGGTGGGCGCATGACCTCTCCCCTCCAGATCTGCTACTTGGCCACCTTGACACAATGTGGAGGGCTGAGTCCCTGCAGGCACTGCTTCAGAAGGGCAGGGAAATGTGGTTGCTTGGGAAGCTGGGATCTGTAATGGGAAGCATGTCCAGAGCTGCTGCAACAAGTGAGAAAATGTAGGTTGGAAAAAGTGGTATCTTTCTAAAGGTGACTTTCTGGAAAAAGGCCCCTAAATATACAATTTCCCACTTTTTCTTAGGAAAAACATACCAATGAATGCACTGTAGTATGAGGGTGAAATAGAGTTTTCATGTAGTTTATTTTCTACAGTCCTCCACAAACAGTTGATTAAAAAATATGTAGGGATATATTTATTCCGTTGCCTTGTTAAAGCAATGATAGTCTCTGAGCAGGTTTTTTCCTGGGGATTAATGGCTAGAAGGGGCTAGATCTGCATCTGATGATCACCATTAGCCCCATCTGGTCAATAATCCTTCTTAATCCACTTTTATTAGCCAGAGAGTCTGGCCAGCCAAGTGGTTAGCGCAACACAGCACACTCAGGCTGCAGCTTCACCCCTCTTTCAAGGGAAATTAAAATGTAGGCTGCAGCTGAAAGGAGGGGACAAGTCCAAGCCCAGATCCCTACCTGTGTGCTCGTACTAACATTTACATCCTTAGTTGGGTCAGATTGGACATCCAGTCAGAGCTGGTGGCTATGCAGGAGGTGAAGGGAGGGAGCAAGGCATATGAATGAAACTGCACTTTGCCTTGTGAGCTCTGGCATATCACAGGATGGACATTCATGGGAGCTGGGAACATTTTGCCTTCATCCAAAATCTCCCCAAATCTGTCTTTTGATTCCTTTGTGCTTGGCCTTTCCAGCTGGGAGGGAAGCTATGCTTTGGGTAGGGTTTGGTTTTGACCAAGGGCACTTTCTCCTCTTAAATTCTTTCTAATTTCTGTGGCAAACTGCAAAAGAAATGCAGAAGCTCAGGCCAGCTCCTCAGCTAGCAAGTGAATTATTTGTCTAAGAAGATGCATTAGCTTCGATCAGGCAATCTCATAGCAAGGCTTCAGCTTTGGAATCACCATCCCTGAAAGTGTTCACAAACCATGCACACGAGTTCCTCAGTGATGTGAGTTAGTGATGGCCTTGTCAGTGCTGGGGTAACGGTTGGACTTGATGATCTTACACGTCTTTTCCAACCTGGTTGATTCAATGATTCTAAGGACTCAGACTGCTCTGTTAATAGAGTGGTCCCCAGGCACATGGCTTAAACCATTTTGTCTTGCTTTAGCAGGGAGTTCTCTAGTGCTGAGGGAAAATGTGTCGGGGTAGCCTACAGCTATGGCTTTGAGAGGAGATTGAGTAACTCTGGCCAACAACTTTTCCTTTGACTGCTGGTCCAAAAATTAGCAGGTAAATAATTATTCTCAGGAACATCTGCTTGCTTTTCATTACATGCCTTTAGATCTTTGATTTATTGCTTTATACAGTCCAGTTTTATCTGCCAGTTCTGACCCCGCCACTGTCACCAGCAAGCCTTGAGCAAGGGTATTCCCTGCTGTTGTCCCCATTTCTCTGCCAGGAGTCCTCACACATGGAACACACATGGGAACAGGTTGCTTTCTGTCCCTCTGGGAGTAGCTCTTCACACCCAGCCAGCCACCAAAGGAAGCTTGACTTCCTCTTGAAAGCCTTTTTAATAGCTGATGGCTCCCATTTACCTGGAGGGCAGAGCAGCCAAGGGAAACTAATAGGCAGCTCCCCTTCCCTCCTCCTGAGGTTGGTGACAAGAGCTAAGAGAGAAGGTACAAGAGGGGAGGGGAGGAATGCTTTCTGCAGGATTGGTGCTCTGCCTTAAGATAGCTGCAGTGTCTTTACCTGCTCTTTGACCTTTTCAGCTTTGCTTTCCGAAGACTTGAGGACCCTTCTGGAAGAGGCAAAGGAAATGAAGTGGCCCTTTGTACCAGAGAAATGGCAATACAAACAAGACCTCTGCCCAGAAGACAAAACAAACCTGCAAGATCTGATCGGTGTGAGGCTCTCTGATCTGCTGGTATGAAGATGAACACATCTGTTGTGTAAAACGTCCTGCTGAGGATCTTGAGGGTACACAGAGCCCTCGTAGGTAGTATCGCCTCTGGGTTCAAGGGCTTGGTTTTATGCACAGTGGCAGCAGCATGCGAGGAACTGCTTGGCAAGCAGAGGTGAACGAGGCTGTGTTGAGATGGGCTGTTCACCAAGGCCATAGAGCCAAAACAGAAGTGTGACTTCTATTTGGTTTTGTCCTCAGACAAGAGAGGTACCCAGAAGCTACATATAGTTTCCTTCTTTTCTTTTTTTTTTTTTATTTTTTATTAAGGTTGCTAATCATAGAATCACCTGGGTTGGAAAAGATCTTTAAGATCATCAAGTCCAGCCATTACGCCAGCACTGCCAGGACCACCACTAGACCTTGTCACTGAGGGCCTCATTTACACACTTTGAGAACACTAGAACGCTATGAAGCAACATGTGTGAATCAGGGTGTCCTCCTCCTTGTGAGTCAGCTCGTCTCCTTGTCACCACTGCATCTTCCAAGGTGTCCTGGGTTCAGCAGTAGCAGTCATGTTTCTCCTCCTTGGTAGCTGGTGCAGTGCAGTGTTTTGACTTTCGGCTCGGGAACAGAGCTGATAGAGATGTTTTGGTTTGGCCAAGGACTTTGTGAGCCTCATGCTCTGCCAGGGAGGAGGGGAAGCTGGGAGGAAGCAGAGACAGGACACCTGACCCAAACTGACCAAAGAGCTATTCCATACCACAGCACGTCATGCCCAGGATGTAACTGGGAGTTAGCCGGAAGGGCTGGGAGACTGCAGGGTTGGAGGAGGTATCGGTCGGAGCTTGGTCGGGCTTGGGGGGCGAGTTATCGGTCAGCGGGTGGTGAGGTGTTGTATTCTGTTCCCTTGTTATTTCCTTTATCATTATTATCATTGGTGGTAGCAGTAGTGATTTGTGTTATACCTTAGTTACTAAACTGTTCTTATCTCAACCCGTGGGAGTTGCATTCTTTTGATTCTCCTCTCCGTCCCTCCGAGAGCAGGGGGAGGGCAAGAAAGGGGGGGAAGTGAGCGAACGAATTACCTGACTGGGTTTAAACCACGACACAAGGGAAGGAAGGTCCTGTCCTTTCTGGCACTGCAACCAAGCTGAGGATGTGAGATCAGTGACTTCTCTGCCCCAGGGTTAGGCATCTGGTCTGTTGGCTGCATGGATGGCTGTGCAGCGCCAAATGAGGCTGTTGGTTTGAGGTCTTGCTGGTACCTCTGCTGGTTCTCACTGCAGGGAAGACAAAATGGATTTGCGTGATAAAAGTTTTGAGTGTGTCCCAGTGTTTGGCTAAAGCTATGCAAGAAGTGCCTAGATAATAATGCCAAAGACACAGCAGAGCAGAGGCCACTGGCTCTGCCTTGTGTAGAAGCGAACGCAGGGGCATATAGGGATTGTCCATGCATTGAGCACCTTGCAGAGCAACAACCTCATTCATTGAAACATGCAGTGGTGACTATGCTGTATTTCTGCTCACTTTCATGCTTATCCCATGCTAGTTTGGCACTTGCTTTGTCTGTTCCTCTGATTTGACAGGGCAGTTCTATTTCTGTTTCCACTAAGGTCGTGTTTACCTCTTCCCTGAAGAACTGTCATTATTATAAAACTAAAATGCCAAGTGTTCATATACAGTTTTTACAAAACCTTAGAGTCTGAAAAGAACGCTGTGCCTTGTTTAATTCAGCACTGCTAGGAGGCAATGAGGATTACTTCCTTTGGTAGGGCTTGCACAATTGATCTAGTAGGACTTGCACGATTCATCACATTCTTTTATTTTTTTTCAAGAAAATTACTTGACAGGACTCCTTTGAGAACCAAAGCTGCCCAAAATGTAGGAAGGAAAGGGAAGACTTTAATGTGGCTTGTGCTGTGAGTAAAAGGATACTTGACTGGGTAAGGAGCTGCAGGTGCTTGGGGATCCCATCCTGCAAGGTGGTGGGTTTGAGCTTAAAGATTAGAAAGCAGCAAGAAATGTGGATTGTTTCTTGCTTTTTTGATTTTCACAGAATCACAGACTGGTTTGGGTTGGAAGGAACCTTAAAGCTCATCCAGTTCCAACCCCCTGCCATAGGTAGGGACACATTCCACTACAGCAGGTTGCTCCAAGTCCTGTCCAACCTGGTCGTGAGCACTGCCAGGGATGGGGCAGCCACAGTTGCTCTGGGCAACCTGTGCCAGGGTTTCACCAACCTTACAGGGAAGAACTTCTTCCTAAGGTCTCATCTCAATCTCCCTTCTGTCAGGTTAAAACCATTCCCCCTTGTCCTGCCACTACCTGCCCTTCTTAAAAGTCCCTCTCCAGCTTTCTTGTCATCCCCTTTAGGACCCCCTTTTCAATGGTAAATGTAGTATCTAGGCTAATGAGTATCCCTTTGACAGGACAGACATAAAGTAAAGATGAAGTTTGTGAGGTTTGGGTGGTTTTTTTTTAACTTCTTGTGGTGCATGACTGAAGCCATGTCTGATTCCTTGTGGGAAGGGGGAGTGCAGCCTGAAAATCTGGGGTTTAGGTCAAGGAACACTTGCTGCAAAACTGCTGTTAACTCCAAGGAGGTCGAGAGATTTCACCTGCTTGAGAGAGAGCCCTTGAAAATATAAGGCCAGCAAATTTGAGGATGACAGTGACTTTGAGTAGCGCTGAGCAAATTGAAGCTCAGAAAATCCAGGCAGAGGGTTGGGAAGCGTCAGCCCCAGCACTGCCTTGCCAGCATCCCACATTGCAGGGATCCTGGGTTTGCTTGGGTAGGGTGGAGAGTGGCTGCTTCTTGGGTATTTGTTTTCTTTTTCTCTTTGGTGTGTGTGGCCTTAGACAGAAATTTATGGCAGAGGTTGACCTCCTTTACAACCCCTGTGTGGCTCTCTAACTTGGGAGCATTTGTCTGCTCTCTTCCAGGAAAACACCTGCAGTAAACTCCCTGAGAGACCTGGCTAGATGGGAGATTAATGTGGCTGTAATAGCGGAGCAGCATTCGCAGCATTATGCCGTCTCCCCATGTAGATGGGTCCAATTATTTACGATGATGATACCCATTATCAGGGGAAGTTTAGATTGGATATAAGGAAGTTCTTTACTGTAAGGGTGGTGAGGCACTGGAATGGGTTGCCCAGGGATGTTGTGAATGCTCCATCCCTGGTGGTGTTCAAGGCCAGGTTGGGCAGAGCTTTGGGTGACATGGTTTAGTGTGAGATGCTCCTGCTCACAGCAGGGGGGTTGGAACTGAATGATCTTAAGGTCCTTTCCAACCCTAACTACTTTATGATTGTATGATTCTATTATTTATTGCTGAAACATCTGTGGATAACTGCAGCTGCCCTTGTTAAACAAAGCATATCATGGTGTCATAGACTATAGGGACCTAAAATCCTACTGCATGCTAGTTTCAAACTGTTCACTGACACCCCCTGAAACCCATGGGTTACCGTTGTCTCCAGTGTTTCATCCTGAGGTTGAAAATACTTTGTAAATGTTTGTTGTGGTTTAAACCCAGCCAGCCAGCTCGTTCACTCACTCCCCCCCCTTTTTGCCCTCCCCCTGCTCCCAGAGGGATGGGAAGGAGAATCAAAAGAATGCAACTCCCACAGGCTGAGATAAGAACAGTTTAGTAACTAAGGTATAACATAAATCACTACTGCTACCACCAATAATAATAATGATAAAGGAAATAATAAGGGAAGAGAATACAACACCACATCACCAGCCGACCATTAACTCGCCCCCCCCCCCCCCCCCCCCCCAAACCTGACCAAGCACCGACCAATACCTAGTCCAACCCCGCAGTCCTAGCCCTTCTGGGTAACTCTCAGTTACACCCTGGGCATGACGTGCTGTGGTATGGAATACTTCTTCGGCCAGTCGGCCAGTTTGGGTCTGGTGTCCTGTCTCTGCTTCCTCCTGGCCTCCCCTCCTCCCTGGCAGAGCATGAGACTCACAAAGTCCTTGGTCAGAGTAAACATGACTTAGCAACAACTAAAAACATCGGTGCTGTCAGCACCGTTCCCAGGCTGAAAGTCAAAACACAGCACTGCACCAGCTACTAAAAAGGAGAAAAATGACTGCTACTGCTAAACCCATGACAATGTTGTGCTACCTTTCCCCATGTGCTTTGAAGTGTTATTTCATCTTCATCGGTAATTTATATTCCAGTGCCATTGTACCATGGGAAAAAGGGAAAACCTTTTTTGTTTTTCATTTCATTGTAGATAGACTGACATTTTGACCTGTATTATTAGTATTAGTCAGGAAAAAGGATTTTTTTCTTTTCCCTTCATCCGTTAGTCCCCCCTCCCCTTTTTTTATTTTAATAAAATTTCAAGGCAGAGCAAAGGCTGCTTCAGTTCTCTGAATAAAGAGCTAGGGGAGGGAGGAGGGAAATGAGGCTGAAGAGAAGTGATTATAGTGTGATGAGGAAAGATGAAAGTGTGAGCAACTTTTTTCTTCTTTGGCATGAGCCCCAGAAGGACAACTTAATTCCCTGGAGGAAAAAAAAAGTGTCTTTGTGGATTTATTGTTCAGAAAAAAACCTTTAAAAATTCCCACCTCTGTTTATTTTAATTTGCCATGCTTTGAATAAGCTCTTAAACCGTAATTCATTGCATTTAAAATGTGCTTTGAGATCCATGAATGAAAGGCACTTCATTACCATAACATACTGGTGGTGTTCCACGGAGGCAGAGCTGGCTACCCACCTTCACCATGAGCATGTTTTTCTCTGGGAGTAGGCTGAAAAACTCCGTAAGACCAGCACAGTGGGTAAGTGGATTAGGCTTTGCCTTCAAGGGTTTGCCTTAGTGTTGCACTTTAAAAAGTGGGATTGGACACATCACCTACACCTACAGCCTTTTCCAGGGCTCTTCTTCCCTTTTGCTGTGGGATGCACTTTGCTTCTGCACGCTGGAGCAGTAGGAAAACATGGCAAAACCAGCGGGGGAAGTAGGGTAGTGGCAAGCCAGGCTTTCTTCGGCACTGTCTCA